TTTTTTTTTTTTTTTTTTTTTTTTGTACCTTTGGTTTCTTCATGGAAATAAAGGAATGACAATTCCAATGTAAAAATGCTTTTTAATAACTATCTATTTATTTTAGTCTTATTTATTTTTACTAAGGTAATTATGTTGTCCTAATTAGTTTATTGTAATTCAATTTTTGTGAATTTCTTGTATTTCAAAAGACTTCTAAAGTACTCTCTTTAGAGTGATTAAATTCTAATTATTAGCAGCTAATGACAGATTTCTAATACTACATTTTGTTTAGGTCAGTTTTATTTTGAGTAAAATGATTAATTTTAAGGTATTTATTATGATAAATATCAAATATCCGTAAGCTTCTTTTTTCTAGTTGATATTCAACATAGATTTAATATCTTCATTACTTTGATTTAGACACTGGCTTAAATTGGTATTCTCATATGAGTTTCCAGAGTTTAGTTTAAGCCTTGAGAAGAAATTAGTTGAATGAGAAAAGTTTAGGTGTATGAGAATTTACAAAATGATCTAAATATTTCTCACAAAATAAGAATTCTCTGCAAGATAAATGTGACTACTAAGTAGATGGACTTATCGTATTATTTCTATATTACTCTCATTTTTAGACTGCTCTTTCAAACATGCATTAATATTTTTAAATATTATATATGCTTATTAAAATTATTAAATTCCTGTTTAATGCATGTCATTAGAATTAACAGATGATGTTATGGATGGAATTACGGCTCCCCCCAAAAATATATATCTATATGTGTTGTAGATCCTAACCTCTATTCCTGTATTTATAATCTCATTTGGGAATAGGTTATCTTTATTATGTCAATGAGGCAAGATTAGTGTAGGGTGTATCTTCAGTCAGTCTCTTTTGAGATATAAACAGAGATTTCACAAGCAGCAGAGAGATGGGGTAAGATAGAGTCAACACCACATGACCATCTTCAAGGAAGCAGGAAATAAAAACTGAAGAGACGAGGACCTTCCTCCAAGGCCATCAGAGAAAGAAAGGCTTCCTCTGAGTTTGGAATTCTAGACTCCCAAACTGTCAGAAAATCCATTTTTATTTGTAAAAGCCACCCACTTGCAGTATTTCTGTAATGGCAGAACTCGATAACTAAGACAAATAGGTGGTGAATAAGATATCCAACGCACATAGTATTCACTTTTTGAATAGGGTTTCCTTCACAGCAAAAGTTAAGTTTTTTTTATTATCTGTGTTGTCTGAATGTCCAATGGATATCCACTGGATATATCTCCCCCACTCATAATTTGTTGCTGTTGTTGTTGTTAAGTGTTTCAGACTTCTAACAAACCTAAATAGGTTTTCCAAGGAACAGCTGATGGGTTTGCACCACCAATCTTCAGCTAGCAGTCCACTGCTTACCCTACAGTGTCACACCAGGACTCCAGTCATAATTTACTCCTCACAAATTGTAAACATGCTGACAGAACTCTACCATGCATCTCTTCAAAGATTTAGAATGGTCAGTGCAATGTCTTAACCAGTATAGCTGTCCAGTTGTTGGTTTTAAATAAAGGAATCCATTAAGTAGTTTTGAAAGCTATCATTAGAACAACCACTGCATGACAGAATCTTATAATGCTAGGCTAAAAGGAAGACTACTTAAAGACCATCTGGTCCACTGATAGCAAACCCTCAGCCAGCTGCCCGCACTCCCCTCTGCCACTCTCATGGCAAACACTACACCAAACTTCAGACTCTTTGCTGCTGAACTGGAGCCAGAATGCCTCTGAAGTTAGAACTCCAAGTAGCCACTCCTCATCAGTCAGAACTGCAACTGAGATAAAACCTCTTTGTCATCCTTGTCGAAATCTAGTTCTTGCTTTTGCATGTGTACCGTATGAATCTAAGAATGTCTGTAACTTGGCCAATTCTGCAGCTACTGAGTTTTAAAGGCAGGAATCAAAAAAATATTCTTCTTTCAAGTTCAATAAATCTCTCATTCCTATTTTTTCACTCTTTTGTCTAATTTATAAGTTAAAATAGGATACATATAATCATATGAATCCAGTCTTTTGATTCATAAAGCTATAATATTTGCATATTTACTATAAATGCATGATAAGAACTAAGAGCTGGAGATAGAATTACTAATTTATTTACATAAAAATAGGTGCTAATTTTGAATAATTAAATTAATACATCATTAGTGAATAAATGCTATGTTCCAGTACTAGTAGTATCTAACATTTGTGACTGTTTACTATATGTCTAGGGAGCACTGTGGCTCCATAGGATAAGCACTGGATTGCAAACCACAAGGTCTGTGGGTAAAGACACTCTGTGGGAGAAAGATGAAGCCTTCTTCTCTTGCAAAGATTTCAAAAACAAAGATGTAGAAAGGGTTACTATGAATAGGAACCAACTCAATGGCACTTAACAAAAACTTTATGTCTGGCATGATTCTTAGCACTGATATTAATTCATTTCATCTTGACAGTAGTCTCAGAGGTAGGAATCATTATGCCCATTTACATGAGGTCTAGGTAACTTGCCCAGTAGTACCTTAGAGTAAATCCAGGCAGTCTGCCTCTTAAGTCTGTGCTCTCAAATATTATGCATAATGGCTCTAAAGTTCTTGTTGAATACGGTAAATTCTGCTGAAATTAATAAGAACGCATACCTATATTCATTAACAGTGCTTGGCACTTGTTAAACTTGTAGTGTTGTTTTTAGGTGCCATTGAGTTGGTACCACCTCAACAACCCTATGCACAACAGAATGAAACACTGCCCGGTCCTCTGTCAACCTTATAACCATTGCTACATTTGAGCCCATTGCTGGTGCCTCTGTGCTAATCCATCCCATTTATGGTCTTCCTCTTTTCTCTGATCCTCCATTCTACCAAACATGATATACTTCTCCAGGAACTGGTCATTCCTGATAATACGTCGGAAGCATGAGAGTTCATGAAGTCTGACCATCCTGGCTTCCAAAGAATATTCTGATTGTACTTCTTCCCACAAAGATTCATTTGTTTTTCAGGCAGTACACAGTACTTTTAATATTCTCCTCCAACATCATAACTCTCTTCTATGGTCTTCTTTTTTAACTGTCAAACTTCTACTTGCATATGAGGTTATTGAAAATACCATGGCTTGGGTCAGGTGAACCTTAGTTATCAAACTTACATCTTTGCTCTTGAACATTGGTATGGCACTGTGGGATGAACACTCAACCTTAAGGTCAGTTTGAACCAAAAGATCGATGGTTCAAACTCACCAGTCACTTTTCAGAAACCCTATACTTTGAGTAAGAACTAACTTGATGGCACTTAACATAACAACATAGCATGTGCAGCAGATTTGCCAATTGCAATGTATCATTTTACATATTGTTGCTTTCATGAGTGTTGCTGGTAGATCCAAGAAAAATGAAGTCTTTGACAACTTCAATCCTTTCCCCATTGATATGGATGTTATTTATTGGTCCGGTGTTGAGGATTTTTGTTTTCTTTACATTGAAGTGCAATCCATATCTAAGTCATCTTTGATCTTCATCAGTAAATACTTTATAAGTCCTCTTCACTTTCAGCAAGCACAGTTGTATCATCTGCATATCACAGGTTGTTAATGAGTCTTCCTCCAATCCTGATGCCTTGTTCTTTTTCATATAATCCGCTTCTTGGATTATGTGCTCGACATATAGATTGAATAAGTATGGTGATAGAATATCACCCTAGTGCACACATTGGCT